CCGCACAAGGCTTGCCTATTTTTTGAACTTCATATAAATGAAATCATTTAGTATGTACTCTTTTATGCCTGGTCTTTTCAGCTCTTCCTAATATTTTGTACTCATACATATAATTGTGTGTATTAGTAGTCTGCTTCTTTTTATTTCTGATGGTATTTTAGTGTATAACATATACCATTCATTCATTCACCTTTTGATAGATTTGGGGATGTAGTCATTGTTTGGAAGGTCATGAATTGTTGAAAAGTGCTATCTATCCTTTCTCCCAGAGAATTCCCTGAGTGACTTCATATAAACTCAATTGAGACTTATTTCATTCCATTGATCTATATGTCTCCTACTCAGATGTTCCTGTTATTCATCTTATTTTTCCAATGTATATTCCTATCTACCTTGTCTTTTCTAACTTAGTCTAACCTCAAAGGATCTTTCTGAAAATTATTGCATGATAACTGTACATACTTATGTGGTAGAGTGTCATCTTTTAGTACACACGTACCTTGTATAATGATCAGATCAGTGTAATTGACGTATCCTTCACCTCAAATGATTATCATTTCTATGCTTTTGGAACATTCAAAATCCTCTCTAGCAGACATTTTGAAATAATCAATTAATTGTCAACCATCCCACTGTGCTACAGAACATTAGAAATGTTTCCTCCTATAAAACTGTGCCTGTATAACCATGTACATCTTCCTCTATTCGCCATGCCAGACTCTTCTATTCTCCTTCTGTGAAACCAACTTTTATCTCCCCTATTATAGCAATAAACATTGGACTCTTTAATGGCATTTGTCTTAAATTTAATTTTGTTATCAAAATATGTGTGTTGTTCAACCATAAGAACGGGATCCTAATTAGAGTAAGTTTTACTCCATTATGTATAATATGTGGCTACAGTCTACTGCCATATATATCTAAGAAGAACAAATAAATAAGAATATAAAAAGGTGATGTGTGCTATTTTCATTTATTACTATATTTTTCTTACATTATTTTACTTACATTAAACAGAAATATTCCTATCATTCTTTTAGTATAATTACTTTATTTACCATAAAATCATTGCCACCACATTAATGTATATTTGCAAGTATTCTGTGCATCTCAATCTTGCACCAAAGACAATTTAGTAATAAATTATTTTTAAGTAATACCAGCAAATTAAAAAAAACTTCACATAATCATTGAAAAAATAATTGGCATAAAATCTGTGACAATTATATTGTGAAATACTGTTATGATTATTTAGCTTTTGAGAAATATTACAACTGTATTATTATATTATATATAATCATAATACTATGATTACATAAATATTTTCACTGAAAAAGAAAGATGTATGATTAAATTCATTGATTTATAAAAACTAAAAAACTATGTCATTAAGCCCATCATATTCAAAACAAAGATTCCAGGCCTAATGCTATGTTAGTTTCCCTTTCTTGTGCTATATTTATTCCTCATTCCATCATTTCACCTGTTCATACTGGTGTCATTTGCCTATCTCTCTCCCTCCATTGCTTTCTTTGTCCTTCCATTTCTCTCTTTCTTCTTCTCCCTCTCTCCCTCTTTTTTTCAGGTGTTGAGCTATTTGAGATAAGTTCTGACACAAAGACATTTACAGCTGAATAGTTCAGTATTCAGAATCTCCTATGCAGTAGAACAATATTGTATACAACTACTGAACCATTATTAGACCAGAAATTTAACACTAATGCACAAATACTTAAAAATACAATCTATATTTCATACACTTGATTCAAGTGGGTTATGAACTCCCATTTTTACCACATATACAGATTGCAGATTCACATTGGTTTCACATTCATGTTTATACATACTGCCATACTAGTGTCTGTTGTATTTTGCTGAAATATGATATGTCAAGAGCATTTTAATGTTTTGAACAACCAATAAAAAAATAAAATAAAATAAAAAATACAATCTATACACAAATTCTCCCAATTATAGAGAATGATTACTTTCAGAGATTTATTAATATATATTATACATACTATACCATTCACCTATTTAATATGTACAATTAAATAGGTTATTTTTATATATTCACAGAGTAGTATTATCCATCATCACAATCAATTTTAGAATATATTCAGTATCCCCAAAAACCCTTGTGTCTACTAATAATTACTCGTTATTTTCCCCAGTCCTACACCCACCCAGCCATAGACAACTCTATTTTACTGTATGTCTCTATGGATATTCCTAACTTCATATGTCACATAAATAGAAACATACAATATATGATATTTATGGCTGCCTTCCTTTAATTAGCATGTTTTAAGGTATGTGTATGTACGTGTATGTGTATCAGAGTTCATTTATTTTGTTGCTGAATAATATTTCATTGTATGAACAGATTCTTTTCACATTTAATTTATCCAATCATCAGTAGATACTTATTTCACTTTGGGACTATTATAAATAGTGATGCTGTGAACTTATATGTGCAAATATCAGAACACTGCAATTATTTTATGTATATACCTCGGAGGAGAATTTCTGGGTCACACAGTAGTAATTCTGTGTTTAACTTTTTAAGGAATTGCCAAATAATTTTACCAGAGTACCTGTACCATTTCATGGCCTCCAAGCAATGTTTGACAGTTCTAATATCTCCACATTCTCACTGACATTTATTTTCTATTTGCAAAAACTAAATCACCGTAATGGATGGCAACTACTGTGGAAAGCAAGCATTCCTCAAAAAAACTTGGTGTTTTTTTTAATTTTGTGTGTGTGTGTGTGTGTGTGTGTGTGTTTGTGTGGTATTGGGATTGGCCCAGGAGTGCTTTAGCACTGAGCTACATCCCCAGCCCTTTTAATTTTCTTATATTTTGAGAGAATATCTCACTAAGCTGAATAGGTGGGACTTGAACTTGCAATTCCCTGCCTTGGCCTTGCAAGTCACCAGGATTATAGGCATGTACCACCATACCCAGTCCCTTGAAAATTTTAATATCCATAGAAGATAACCAATGATGTTGAACATCATTTTGACATGGCTCCCTGGCTGCTAAGCCATGCAGCCAGCCCACTGGCCCTGCCAAAAAGCCACAAGAGAGTGGTGAAGTAACAGACTGGTGGCCAGGCAGGTTAAAAACACAGGTAGCAAGCATGGGCTGCTGTGCGGAGCCTGCCATGCCACTCTGGGCCTGAGGGCAATGGACCAATATAAAAGTGAGCAGGGCAAGCTGACCTGTCACCCCACGACAGCCAGACCTGCAAATTGCAGAGGGAACACAATCCATGCAGGACTACAGTTCTAGACACCTCCATCCCCACCCCACCCCCACACACTGAGCATGCGCAATTCAAGGACTTCAACCTCCCACTTCCCCAAGCCAGGAGAAAATGAAAGTAAGGCAAACCTGAAAGGGATTTAGGGCTAACCAATAGCTTCTCCAAACCCTAATTAGCATAAGTTTGGACCAATAGTGTCCAAATATAAACCATATGTATATATAGTGTCCAATGTAAACCCTAGACTTGCACAATCAGACAGCTATCCCTGTCAGGTCCCCTCTCATCCTGCAAGAGTTCTGATCTATGCTTACTTGAGTATATCCTACTTTTACACTCACTCATCTTGGTCTCTGAACTTCATTCTTCCCAAAAAGATGAAATTGAGGGAGTGCTGCGGGGGTCTGTCACAACACTGTTACAACATAGACAACTATTAAGAGCCTCAACACTTGCCTGCTCTTTGTGTAGACCTCACCTGCCAGCAGAAGCAGTGAATCCAGTTTCATCTCAAAACTTAGGTTTCAATTTCACATACATCTTATTTGAGGAAATTCTGTTCAGTTGCTTTGCACATTTTTTAAAATTCTTTTTAATTGTTGATGGACTTTTATTTTATTAATTTACTTATATGGGGTGCTGAGAACTGAACTCAGTGCCTCACACATGTGAGGCAAGCACTCTACCACTGAGCCACAACCCCAGCCCCACTTTGCACATTTTTCATTCAGTTGTCTTTTTGTTGTTGAGTTGTGCAAGTTCTTTATATATCATACATACCATATTCCTACCAGCCAATGTACAAATGTGTTCTACCATCTGCAAGTTGTTTTAACTTTCCTGATACTGGCAATTGATGCATAAATGTTTACATTTAGCTATTCTTACTTTTTATTGTTTATACATTTTGTGGTGGTAGAAAATAGAGAATAGATTAAAATAATGGGTTTGGATGGCATCATTTAAATGGGACAACAAGAAAATTAATGGACCAAATTTGGAAATGTTGACAATGGCATACATGCAGCCAAGATTGAAAAATGAATGACTGAGCCCCCTATACCTGAGGTGGAGAGAAATGAGAAGAAACCCCATAATATAATCATCTGAGATATCAAACACAATGAAATATGGACAAATTTAAATTCCACATTTTTAAAATTTTAACAGAGTAACAAGGTTTCCTTCCCTTTATGGAATCATCACAGGAGTAAAATAAGATTGTGGATATAGAATTTATGGAAAAAGTTGAAGTATGAACAATGGAAAAGTGATCCTTAAGCAAAGTTGTTTCCTGTGCCATGCTTGAGGGAACAACTTTTGGGAACCAAATATGACTTAATTCTCAGATAAAAACAGACAAAACTGCTATAACAATGTAAAAAAAGGTTCATTTTCAGTACATATCAGGTTTCAAAACAAATAATAGATACTAAAAAAGAGAACATGATGAATTTGTGTTTTAACAGCTTCAGACAGAAGTTTCAATAAAAAATTTTACACTGTGATTCCTAAGAGTCAACAGTAATTTAAAAATGGAAAAACATTTCCTATCAAGTTCCCCAAAATACACAATACATAAATTATACACCTCTACTTCAGCTGTGTCATTTGTTGAAAACCACATAATATTTTATATTAATAGAAACCTCTACAATTAGAAAAAGGTCTGGAATAACATTCCAATATCCATATACCTAGTGCATTAAATTATGTAATAATACCAAGCATTACCATGCTAGGATAATTTTCCTCTTAAAGATTCTTCCAATTGCTCCCTTCATGTCTCTGTTCCTCAAGCTGTAGATGAAGGGGTTCAGCATGGGAGTCACCACCGTGTACATCAGAGCCATGACAGTATCTTTCACAGTAGAATTATTAGCTGATGGACATAAGTAGAGTCCAATGACTGTCCCATAGAACAGAGACACCACAGACAAATGGGAGCCACAGGTGGAGAAGGCCTTATGGATACCTCGAGCAGAAGGAACCTTGAGAATGGAGGACACGATGCGCCCATAGGAAAGAAGAATGAGGACAAATGGAATGAGAAGAATGAGGCCTGCTGTGATGAATATCACCAACTCATTGACATGAGTGTCAGAGCAGGACAGCTTCAGAAGGGCAGACATATCACAGAAAAAATGGGGAATCACATTCTCTGCACAGAAACACAATCTGGCCATAAGCAGGGTATGGAGCATGGCATGGAACATGGTCAGCACCCAGGACAGCAGCACCAGGAAGAGACAGAGCTTGGGGCTCATGATGGTAGTATAGTGGAGGGGAAAGCAGATGGCCACATAGCGATCATAGGCCATGGCCACTAGAAGGAAGCTTTCCAGGTCTGCAAAAAACAGAAAGAAGTACATTTGGGTCAGGCAGCCTGCATAGGAGATGGATAGAATTTGACTCTGCATGTTCCGTAGCAATTTGGGCATTGTGACAGAGGAAAAGCAGAGATCAGAGAAGGACAAGTTGCTGAGAAAAATATACATGGGTGTATGCAGATGGGAGTCCAGGCGAATGAGGACGATGATGAGGAAGTTCCCCAGGACAGTGATAAGATACATGGCCAGGAATAAGGCATAGAATAGGTTTTGGTGTTCTGGCTGGATGGGCAGGCCCAGGAGGAGGAATTCTGAGATGATAGATTGGTTTCTTCCTATCATGCTCTATCTCCAGTATCTTTAAGAGAAAATAATAGAGTTCTTTTAAAATATAGAAAATAAGCCAAACCTATTTCTATGATGTGCAGTCTCTTTGCATATTTGATCTCATTGATCATGCACTCAGTATTCAAAACCACATCTACAATGAGATTATGACACACCATTCAATCCAAGCCATCTCTCAGACTCACTTATCATTGAACGTAACAATGCTGATTCTTTTCTCCCTTCTGATATAATGTCATCTACTAGATTCTGTGTGATAATATTGGTTCTTCTGATATTCCATGGACATTTATTATCAACAATTATGACTTCTTTCTTTTCTGACAGTGTCTTGCATATCATTGTTTCTGAGCTCCTCCCTAAATACTCTTCTATTTCTGTAGATATAGCCCTTTACATACTCACCTAATCTCATGGCATTGATTGCCATCTAAACAGATGATGAACAGCTCTATCGCCTTCAGTTCCCTGTCACCAACAGCTTACTGATTATTTCCCCCCATAGGTGTACCACAACCATCTGCAGCTCAACAGATCCCAAATGAAACTCACGATGCACTCTACCCTCTCCCTTTCCACTCCTCCAGTCTCTTATACCTCAATAAATCCAGGCTCAAGTCAGACACCCAAGAGTTGTATTGTGTCTGTTAATTTCCCTTTCCATCAATAGCTCACCTAACAAGCCCTAAAGATTCTGCCACTTCATTCTCTAATTCATCTACTCTTCATCCCAAGTGCCATAATCTGGACCACTGATGACATACCTGGTCTGGACTTCAGAAAAACCTATTGTTTCATCTCCCTGCTTCCATGCTCTCTCTCCTTCAAACTCATCCCACTCTGGCATCCTGATGATAGGAAAGGTAGCAGAATACAACAGTTACTAATAGGGCATTATGTAAAAATGTGGATGTGTAACCGATGTGATTCTGCAATCTGTATTTGGGGTAAAAATGGGAGTTCATAACCCACTTGAATCTAATGTATAAAATATGATATGTCAAGAGCTTTGTAATGTTTTGAACAACCAATAAAAAAAAGAAAAAGAAAAAAAATAAAATCCAATCATCAATCTTCTGAAAGTTTTGTGGATTCTCATCATTCATAAGATCAAGGTAATAATTCATAAGGTCAAGAAGAAAAAGATGTGTGGGGAGCCACTCTGAATGACTCATGCCTCTGAAGCGAGAAGCTTTGACCATCACTACATTTCATAGTTATCTGAGTGCTGTCCCAGTTCAGGAAGTTGAGGGTGTGTCTTTAGATGTAGACTCACCTGTCCCTTGTAATCCAGCCCCTTCTGGTCTTTATTGGATGTAACTTTCTAAGAACAAGGGTCCCCTCAATAAAAGCCCACTTCCAAATGTGCTTGCTCTCTCTCACTAGCCTCTCATGACTTTCTCTTGCTCTCCCATTTGGGGAGCCTGAGGTCAAGAGCAGAGAAGCTGTCCTGAAGTTTGTTTTAAGGTAAAGTGTGTGCCTGTGTTTTATTTGGTGTCCCTGGAAATTCACACAAGCGATCTTAAGTTCAGCTGCCCGCTTGGGTTGGGGGCAGCAAAGATGTTTCACATTGTCACCCTTACCTACTTCCACAGTCTTGACTGACCCCACAATCACTTTTACATCATTTCTCCAGCAACACTGGACATGTAGGTCACGACTTCTTGATATCAGCCTGAAACACTTACTGTTCTTCTTGTCTTACCTTCTCTCACCTCTTCCCACTTCATTTGGCTTGCCCCCACTTATTTTTTGGATCAATTACTTGTGACTTGCTTAGCTATTTCTATGTTCCTATTTCTATGTTCCCACTGCATTCTGTACTCATCTCATAGCATTCAGTGTCCTTGATCCCTTATTTATAGCTGACTGCCCTGCTGGATTATGAACTCCATGCAGGAAATACCTTCAAGTCTATAGCAGAGCCAGCACCAGGCACAATGCCTGGATATGAGCAGTGTTTCCTGAATATCTACTGGCTATTCTTCAGACTGAGACATACCTCCAGCAAAATTCAAAGGCAATAAACTCTCTTTGAAGTTAGAATCATTACTCCTTCTACATCCTCCCAGGCTTGAACCATGTACAATAGATTTTGACACTGGCTATAGAAATCCTGGCTATAACTTTAGATATATGGAAAAAGTTAGACTCAACCACACTACTCTTTTTCTTAAACAGACAACCAGACCACCCTTTATGCATGACCACACTGATACTTTATCTCTTGTGTTTATATACTTCTGACTCATTGATATTTATGTGAAAATATTAATCTTTAGTAATTTGGGGGCAAAAACAGGAAAAAAAAGTTCTACCTTTAAGATCTCCAGTTCGTCTCCAGATATCTATATGCAGAGTGCGTAAGAGCTAAGAAAAATTAAAGGACATTAAGACACATGGGATGTTCCTTCCCTAAACAGCTGTAACTGAGTATAGTTGCTAAAATTTTCACCCTGTTTATCTGTTTTATCTAGCCACATTTAATAGTTTATTACATTTGAACATAATACATTGGAATTGCAGGTAGGAAAGGGAACAATGAAATTTTATACACTTAATTTCTCAGAATGTTGCTTGCCTAGGAAATGAATGGGATGCATCTGTGGCTTCAAGGATCTTATTACGAATCACAAAGCACAGAGATACCACTTGCAGATGATGCCACTGATTAGACACTAGCATTTCAGTGTTCTGGCAATGCTGCCTCTCATCTTCTTCAGTTTGTATATGCATAGTTGGCATACTGAAATGTACATAAGGCTCATAAGGGACAACACTTTTATTCAGTAGGTGTGGGCCTAAAATATTATATTTTTTTAAGAGAGAGGGGGAGAGAGAGAGAGAGAGAGAGAGAGAGAGAGAGAGAGAGAGAGAGAGAGAGAGAGAGAGAAAGAATGAATTTTTAATATTTATTTTTCAGTTTTCGGTGGACACAAAAAGTGGTGCTGAGGAAATGAACCCAGCGCCCCACACATGCCAGGGGAGTGCGTTACCACTTGAGCCACATCCCCAGCCCTAAAATCCTATATTTTAAAAGATAAAATTTTACATCTGGTGATGCTAACTCTCCTGGCCAGTGGACCATACTTTGAGTAGTACAATGTAAATTTTTAAAATACAGATCTGTGCCACTCTTCAATAAATATGATCAGAATCTCTTGGAGGGGGACAGCTCTAAGTATTTCAGAGCTCCTTGAATAATTTGATTATATAGTCAAGGGCTAAAAACCTGTGTATTTAATTCCTATCTCACAGATATGTCAGTATGCTGAAATGATACAATCTTGTGAGAATATGTTGCATGATAAGTAATATTAATGAATATTATAATAAAATAATTGCAAGCGACAAACTTTAATTCTAATGTTACTAAGAGAAAAGTCTTGTGAAATGATATGGAAAAGGAGAAAAATAGCATACCTGAAAATATATCCTGCAGAACATCATACATCCTGGGAAATCAAGACCCTCAGGGTGGAAGGACACTCAATCTTCTTCATAACCCTGACAAATTACCCAGTGTCTGAAGGTAACTCTAGAGCCCAGACCAAGATCTTGCTCCCCTTTATTCATTATGGGCATATGAAGTCACAGCCTCTGTAGTCATCACCCATGTATGCACTGTCCCTATTCATATCCCTCATTCTACTCATCCCTGGGCCTAAGGGACTCTGTGTCCCAGAGGAGTCCACATCCTGGAGGAGCTCATTAAAGTCAAAATAATTACCCTGTACCTCCCCAGGACAAGTTCTTTCAGAGTCCTGTAGTGATGACTGATTACAGTCACCAATCACACCTGTCTATACTCTAGGGAAAAGGTAGGATGGAGGGAAGGTCAGGGATACAAGCTTAAACTTTTCCCATCTAAGGAATGGAGTGTTTTGTTTAACTGGAGCCTATATTTTGGGAGGTGAAGAACAGTTTTTGCAGAAGCCACAAAAAATGTCAAAATCCAGACTGCAGATGATTTTAAATATCTTAGAAGATTTAGAGTTTAACACAAGAAGCCATCAGTGGATTTGAATCCTTTTTTATTGATTTTTAAAAAATGGCAGCATTACAATTCTTATTACCCTCATACAGCACAATTTTTCATGTCTCCAGTTGTATATAAAGTATGTTGACACCAATTCCTGTCTTCATACATGTACTTTGGATCAAAACTACTCTAAGAATCATCTCACTCCAGTCAGAATGGCAGCTATTATGAAGACAAACAACAATAAATGTTGGTGAGGATATGGGGGAAAAGGCACACTCATATATTGCCAGTGGGACTGCAAATTGGTGCAGCCAATATAGAAAGCAGTATGGAGATTCCTTGGAAAACCAGGAATGGAACCACCATTTGACCCAGCTATCCCTCTCCTCAGTCTATACCCAAAGGACTTAAAATCAGCATACTACAGGGACATAGCCACATCAATGTTTATAACAGCACAATTCACAATAGCTAAACTATGGAACCAATCTAGATGCCCTTCAGTGGAAGAATGGATAAAAATTTGTGGCATATATATACAATGGAATTTTACTCAGCAATAAAAGAGAATAAAATCATGGAATTTGCAGGTAAATGGATGGCGTTGGAGAAGATAATGCTAAGTGAAGTTAGCTAATCAAAAAAAAATGCTGAATGTTTTCTCTGATATAAGGAGGCTGATTTATAGTGGGGAAGGGAGGGGGAGCATGGGAGAAATAGATGAACTCTAGTTACTAAGGACTGGATCCTAATACCACTAAGAAAGACAACTGCTAGGGAAAGATTCCCCAATGGCAGTCTCAAAATACAACATGATTCACTTCAAACAGCCCTAGGTAATGGGATTACAATGCTAACAAGGATCAGACTTCTATGACCCCATTTTCCATGTGTTTCAATATATGGAAAAGGCAGGTATAAGAGAAAAAATGAACTCCACCAGATCATATTCAACTATTCTTTAGGTCAAGATAGATAAAGATAGACCCAGATTCCCACCCTATTCAGT